GGGGCGGCCTGGCCCCTAGGGTCTGCAGGCAAAGGAAACCCCCGATCCAGCGCCTCCTCGGCGTGGCCTAGATCGCGCTCTCCCTCTCTTTCACACACACGCACACATAGACATCCATACACACACATGCAAACACACACACATACACATACTTATACACATACACATGCATGCACTACACATGCACATATACATATGCAAACACACACGGATACACCTACGCACATATATACACGTACACATACATATATGCATGCAGGCACATACACATATATGCACATATACAAACACACACATACGAACTCACACATGCAAACACACACACACATAAGCAAACACACACGCCCAGGCTCTTGCCCAGCACGCGCCAGGGCAGGGTGGGGCCGGCCTCCGCCTACCTGGGAGCTGGCCTGGCGGGTTAGGAGGGCAGGTGCAGTCCACACTTGGGGGCTTTCAGGGGTCCTTTCCTTTCCCTCGCGCTCGGAGCCGTCTCTTCGCCAACTTGGGATCAGCTTTTCTCCCAATCAGAGCCTGGACGCGGGATTTTTATAGCTTAGACCCTCTTCTGGAATCACGCAGCACTTGCCTAATAAGCTGACGCTTCCTTGACAGCTCGATTGCGTGCCCCGATCCACTGCTGAATAAATCATGGGGGCCCGCGCGGAGCCGCGATGGGCAGAGTTTTGCTATCGCAGCCCGGAATCTCACATCCAATTATATCAACAGATATTTATCGCCTCGTCGGTGACGTCAGCCAGCCCGGGGACAGAGGCAGCGGAGCGGGGCTCTCTCCCATTGACAAAAATACTTGAATGAGATTTCCCAAGGGGAGCGAAAAGCGGCAGCAGCGCCCGACCTCTTACTATGAAAGGTCAAAGCGAGGGAAAACTTTCCGCTCGAGTCCCGCCTGTGGACGACTCCGGAGGCTGCCGCCCGGTCCCAGGGCCAGGCAAGGGCATCTAAGAGCCCTGGTCGATTTCGGGGCATCTAAGATCGGGGACCCAGCCTGAGCTGGGCGCTCCCAGCCTGAGCCGACTTGTAGGCAGGAGGTGCGAAGCTTTCTCTAGCACCAAGCCTTGGGATGGGCTGAGTTTGTCCCAAGACGCCCCATCCCACCAAGACAGCGCTCCTCCGATGGCGTGAAAACGCCGAAGAGCCCCACGTCCTGGCAAGCCACAAGAAATAGCCCAGCCCCTGAAATTTGTCCCACCGGTGTCTGAACAGGAGGTGGGAGCTGCGAAGCTCCGTGGAGCAGCCGGCAGAGCTCGCTGCTCCAGCCCCCCTTAGGTACAACACAGGGTCCGCTTAGATGAGCGGGGCCGACGCGCTGGGAGGAGAAGTGAGATGCCCCTGGGGAGGCAGTGCTGTGCTTTGGGGAGATAACACATCCGCTCCCTTCCAGCTCTGGGACGCGCCAGGGCCACGGGGCTGGGCTGAGTTGTCCTGGTGCTCTCGCTGGCAAGTGGCAGCTGTGATGCTGCCGCTCCGGGACTCTCACTGTCAGGGACACCGGCGGGGAAGCTGCCCTGACATATGAAAGCGACCCGGGACGGGCAGCCCGGCGGGCTGCGGGCGGCGGGAGGCGGAGGCAGGCGGCTCATTCAGAAAAGTGGCAAATG